CTTTTCTGCTTCTTCAGAAAGAGGTATTGATTGCCAACATGACTATAACGAGCACTTAATACAGCAACATCAGTCTCAGTTGTTTTGTGGCAGAAAAAAAAACCAAAACCAACAACCACCAAACATTTCTTTGACATAGAATACAGTACAGTACTTTATAGCCAAGTTCAAAGGACAATAGGATTAACATAATGTTTATTATCTCAGAGGAAAAAAAAAAAATAAATCACATCTACCATTCCCCTGCATCACACATCATTCAGAGGACATAACTTATGATTGGCAGCTTACCCGAAGACTGCCTTCAGATACATTTATGCATGAGATGCACCAAAAATTATTCTTTTTGAGTAGGAAATGCAAACCTGACCAACATCAAGCTTTAAAAATAAAAAAGTCAGACATATTCAAACTAATAACAAGAATAAAACAAAAATTTCAAATGCAAACTTACCATGATGTATCTCTAAGTGGACATGGACCTCTTAGATTTTTCTTCTGGAAGATGTTTGCCTGCTCACAAGTAAGGCAAGAAAATCCAGCCTGGACCTAGAAGTAAAAGATTCCACCTGTAAAATCAGTTTTCCTTTAGTTAAGATAAAAAGTTTTATCATACTTATTCTCAAGTTTAGTCACAGATGAACTAAAAAACGGCTCAGCACAGAACTCAGCTGTCACATCTATGCATAAAACACATCAGGTGTTGGTTTCATGTGGAACCTCATTAGGAATCACATAACTGCAGTGAACATCCGCAGAATAAGTGTCAGCAAAAAGCTTTGTCAAAAACATTCCGCAAGCCAATACTCCAAGTCAATCAGAATAAGGCTAAACACTGTAGTCTCCAAATACTTAGGTAGAGCTAATTAAAACAGAACAACAGAACAGATTCAAGTATTAATCTTATACCTCCTTATTTGTGAACTCTTGTTTTCAGCTGCTCTATTAGCTCTGTAGCTTAACTCTGGAGCTAACTGAAACTAAACAAACGTCAGTTACTATCATCTTACTAATCTACTCTTACAATGAGTGACAGGCTGAGTTATGTAAAGTAGCTGGTGCCTAGCTTATCACCTTGTATTTGTCACTGCATTAGTTACCAAAAAAAAAAAATCAGAAAAAAAAGCAGAAAGGATTTGATTAACCTGGAGGACAAAAGAAAACCCATAAACATCAGAGCACTGAAGAAGTCTGTTGGCCACTTTTGGAATGAAGTCCAAATAAATAAATGAAGCCAAGGTACAACCTCTGCCCATGAGAAGGAAAAGATGACAACAGATTTTATGACTTTTTCTTTTCTCCTTCCCCATGACAACCTCATTCCTAGAGTCCTAGGTGTAAGTTATCTCCTGCATCACTTCCAGGCATTATACAACAGTTTCACACTAAACAAATCACTCTAGTTAAGGAAGTATAATCTAATTTCTAAATAGCAAAATGCCATCTTCTATTACACACTTTCCTGCAGCCACTCCTTCATTAGAACATTTAAGTATATGCTTAACGACGTTAGTGCTTAATGATGTTAGAGTCACAATCCCACTTTTTTTGTTGTTGTTTACTTTCTTTTTTTTTTTTTTTTTTGAGTTCTCTACCACAAAGAATATACTCAAGTGTTCTGCTAAGCTGTGGCCTACCTCCCTAAGGTCCTTAGCACTCCCTTCCCTGCTGTCACAGATGAGATTGCAGCTGTCAGTACTGATGTTCAGTTGCCTATTTTTGGCAGCAGAGATTTCTCAGTTGTAAAGCCTTTGGCCAAATGACCATCAAAATTGGAATGGCTAGATTTACTGTTCTTGTAGGCAATCAAACTCTACAAAACATGGTGTGGGTGGGTGGGTGTGATCATGTTTGTTTAATGGATCTATTGCCTGCTTCAGGCCAGATGTGCCATTGCAAGTAACAGTGTATTTTTTTCCTTCTCATAGCATATAAAAATATTGCCTTTTCTTGGGCCAAGCCTAAAAGGAACTTAAGGCAATTGGAAATGATATTATTTTTTTAAATAGTTCTATCCCAGTAACTATCCAGAACTCTAGATTTTCATCATAATTATAAGAAAATAAGTTTCAGATTTTATGTATTCTCATTCCTAATCAAATCAGTTTTTAGCAAAGTTTTCTTAAATCGATGCTTTAACTATTCATTGAATTTTAAAAATTAAAATAAAGTTAACCAATCAAGTTATTGTCAATCAGTCTTCCTGATTATAACACTATTTGCAATGTATTGCAGAGTGGAAAACCATTCCAATCTTGCTGGCCAGCTGGTAGAATGCTAAATATTGTTACTACATCAAGATGAAGCATCAAATTAATCCATGCAGTTAGACAGTCTCGGCTATTTTTTCTTTAAGTGGTAAAAATCAGAAACATTTTAGCAACAAACACGCTAGTTGATATTCAGAAGTTTTGCAAATGACTCTTTACTGGAAAAGATGACTATGTAATTTGAAACAAATTCCTTACTACAATTGTAAGCATAGTATTTTTAAAGAAAATTCCATTTAAAGTGTTTATCTGAAGTACTGAGAACACAGTAAAACTATGTATCTTTATCTAGAGCACTAGCCAGTCAAGCCTTTGTGCAAACAACTCCACATGTAAATCACCTTACTTGGTATGGAAAAAAAAAAAAAAAAACACTGCACAAGTGTTTTTCTTTATAAACAGCTGTGTGCTACTTCAGCTCCTTGCTTTCCTTCTTCATCCCTCTGGTCTTCCCACTTCCTACTGTTCAGACAATTTTTTGTCTTGGGAGGAGTGGAACTGCCTCTGCCATTAGTTGAGTTTACAATTCGTGCTTAAGGTAGGAGCACACTTCCCCAGTTGTAGGAAACAATAAGGTAAATAGAGAAGACTAGATCTAAGGCAGCATGAAGTCTCAATGAACTCTGATAAACTGAACAGTCGTATCATGTTGTCTTGCATGAACTTCCAAAGCAGCTTGGAAAAACACAAAAATACACAGTCCTGCACATTAATTATGATTGTAGGTTAGCATTTGTTAAACACATTGCACAAACTGTCCCTGGTCTTCTAAATCCTAATGGCCTGTATTGTGAGCAGCTGTCTCTGACATGGAAGCACACATTAAGCAGAGGTATGCGATTGAATTCCTCTGGAAAAAAGTACACCATTGACATGGATTGACACTTACTGAACATTTATGGACACCAAACACAGTGTGAGCACAGTGGGGTGGCAAGTGGTACATTTCAGCAGTGGTGATAGCAACAGTGGGCCATGTGCCTTGGTGCAGATTTTTATGAGTGCAGCAAGCAGGCTTTTATTCAGCATGGACAAAATTATACTGCTAATGGTAATGACTACGTTAAGAAACTGTTTCATAGTTGAGAATTTCCTCTATGATAAAGCATTATCTTGCTCTTGCACCTACTGTAGATTTTGGTGAAAATGAAAAGGAAGCATTACACTTGGATCAATTTATGTGCAACACATGTAGAAGAAATCAATTTTTGTCTTTATTTTTAATTGTTTTTGTTATCAGCTCCTAACACACTCAGAAATCTACTTTAATTTCATTAAAAATGATTTAATAAATGAACAATGCACCATCAAAACTCAGGTGCTGTAGAGACTACTCTCATTTTAAGGTTACTGTGTCATCTGAAATAGAGATACATCCTTTCTTCTGACCAGCCTTCTGATAACCCAAGAAAGATATAAGTCACAAGCTGGTAATAAAAAGGAATAACTTACCCTGCTCAGAAGATAAAAACATGCTAGAAAAGTCACAGAAGAACGCAATCTCCAAATAAGAATGTTTCCCTCTCAGCTGCCAGCCCTTAAACGATGTCAGGGAGGGGTGAACCCAGGGTGACACCAGTGAATTTCTTGCACCTGTGCTCCCAGGGCCGCCCACACTTCTTCACCAGGTGCTCAATCAGTGCTTCAGGCTGTGACCTAACAGTTCTCTTATAGCTACAAAAAGTGCATTCTTAACTTCTGTAGTGAAGTGGTAGGGAATCTAATTGTTTGCTTTGAAAATGAAAAAAAAAATTATAGTTCTATGAGTCTATTCAATATTTTTTTTGGTGTCAAATACAAACACCCTGTTCACAATTTACCTGCTTTAGTTCTGAACGTTATTCTGCCCAGTGGGCAGAATAAACAGTAGGGCATTTTCTGCTAACTATGCAGAAGTCTTTTCACCCTGACTTAATGAAATTGCAGAAAACACCTCTCAGCCACAAGTTGCCAAGGAAGAACTCCTTGCTGTTCTCTTCAGCTTTATCTATAGATGGTGCACAGAAATGTAAACTTTTATATGTGTTTATATATTTATATACACACACACTTAAACTGCTGCTGATAGTTCACAGTCAGGGTAAATGTATCACTTACAGTTTCAACTGTTTTTCTAGAGCAAAATCTCAGTTTGGTTACACAGCAAATCACAAAATTCCTCTATTTCCACCCTCAAATTGCAGTTGATTTTTTTGTACTTATTGATTATGCTTTACACTGCTTATCTGATGCAGACATTCCCCATTTTATGAGAAAAGAACACAAATGGAAAGACAATTTCTCTTTTTTTACTTCTTCTTTAGTGCAAAGACATCACAGACAAAAAGTTGTATAATCAATGAATACTAAAATGCTATAATTACAAAATAAACAAGAGAGTTAGGCAAAGCAGATTACGATAACAAAAAGAAAACAGACAGAAAGCTTACCCATATCCTTATGAAAATCCAGCAGAGCAGACCTCCAGAAGAGATCCTTCCACACTGGTAGTCAGCTCTGAAATGGGTCTAGGAGAGGTAGAGCCAGCTCCACCCCCTTCCAGCAGCACAGGTGAATTGCCTTCAGCTGTGCTCCCATGGCTGACTCATTGCTCGCCTCAGGTGATCAATCAGAGGTTCAGGCCGTGGTTCAGCAGTTCCCATACAAAAGTAGAATTACATTTCTTCTATTGTCATTTGTTTCTTGTTTATCTTCAAAATTCAAGTGCATGAGATTCTAGTTTGTCAGCTCCAGGAGACAATAGGCTGAAGAGGGGAATAAGGTATATTTCTTAGACTCCTCAGCTTAGCTGGTATACTCACAGGCACAGTCTAGTTGTAATGAGGTTGCATCTTATTACTAATGTAGCTTCTTTTATAACCCCATAAAACATGATAGGTAAATATGTTCTTTTGTAATTAAGGAAGATAATGTTACATCAGAGATGCAGAAAAGTTCTGAATAAATACACTGATCCTCTAGCAAAGATAATAATACTTACACGTTATGTGATTGCATTAAATATCTCTATAACCAAATGCATGCTTACTCTTTTTAATGTACTCTGCTCTGTAGTGAAATCTTTTGCTTTCAGACGATCTTGTAAAATGAGAAAGGAATTAACACCTTCCGTGTGTTTTTACTAAGAGACATACAAGCACATTGACTATTGGAATGCTTATTTTCTGTAAAAGTCCAGGCTTAGTTTTCAGACACCTGGAAGCTTACAAGGATGTAGATCTAGTTTATAATTATATATCTTATTACTTTAATTTACTTGCTCATTTTTACCCAACAGGACTTTAAAAAATACTTAATTCAGGTGCAGGAAAAAACAAAACAAAACAAACATATATTTCTGTCTTTCCAGAAGTTAAAAACACATATTTAATACAATAGCATAGTTCCATAGACAGGGAGCTACAAAGACCATCCAGCACAATTGCCCAACAACTTCAGGGCTAATAAAACGATAAAGCATGTTATCCAAATACCTCTTGAACACTGATAGGTATTGGGACATCAGCCATCTATCTAGAAAGCTTGTTCCAGTATGACCAATGTGTTACCTAAAGCACATAATGAGCTAATGACTTTTCCAGTATCTTAGGTGCACTCTGCACACTTTTAGAGAGTGTAATTAGCACTGAAAAAGATAAAATATTAAGAATTATAGGATTGGAGTTGTTAGTTAAATGACTGCCTGCCTATTTAGAACTTTTATTTCTGGCTGATTTGCACTCTGATGCTTTTCCATTTTATGCTTATTTTAGCATGAACTGACTGGGATAAAGACTTAGAAACAGTCAGGTAAGCCTTCTACACTAAAGATAAGCATAGGGAATGTATCCCTCCACCAAATATTGCCTTCAGGCTTTGCTGTTTTATTATGGTGTCAATTCTCAATACATTAACTGGACAAAACTACTTACAACGTTTTCACCTATAGAGCAAATACATCAATAGAGAAAAGAAGCCACATAGAATTGGAAATACAGGAAGAAGCAAGAAGTGCTTGTATTGGAAATGATCCACTTGGACACAGAGTCTAACAATTTCTTTTTACTACCTAATGTGAGGGGGCTACAGTTATTCCCAAATGTCACATGTTCACAGCACCAATTCAATAAAGAAATATTTTCTTTTAGTCACACTTTTAATTTTTTATCTGGAGAGGGACAATTCTATCTCTCTCATAAGAAACAGAAGTGCTTTAGAAAAACTGAGGCCAGGACTACTAACGCCTCTGTGGATCTTTTTAGCCTTGGGGGGATGTAGGTGGCAAAAAATGGGTTCACTCATTGTTAAAAAACATTTCACTGCTGGCTACAGCCTGAGCAAAATGATGGCGTGGTGTTAACCTGCTTGCCAAAGGGCATGTGTCAAAATCTCTGTGCAGCTGGGTCTAATTGGACAGTCTGATATTGATAGTCAGAGAATTAATGCTGCAGAATGAATTATCCACGGGGACAGTGCTTCAGATCTGCTGTCTCACATTTCCCTGTTTGATGGTGCTGAGCTTCTCCAGCAGAGCAGACTATGGAAGAGGAGTTGGTGTTCTTGTTCCAGTGGAACTCTGGATTGTCAAACCTGCTGGTTTGTTAAAATTGATTTAACTTTTAAAAAATAAGCATCATATAACTTCTGCAGCAACACATCTTCCTTAAAGAATAAAACTGAATTTCTGTGAAAAAAAATCATGTTTATTAACTCTAATACCATATCCTTCTAAGGTCCACTGGGAAATGAGATATATGTCTCCTGAGGCTATCCCAGAGAGTAACATTTTAAATGAATAAATCAGACCCATTTGTCTTTGCCAGGATACATCTTTTACATAAATCTCTGTTTGTCACCATTGACTGCCATGGTGCCCAGCCAGAATTGGTACTTTCATGATATCTGATTTCACTATTGTTGTTGCCATTCAGTGCAGCGCACATTTCAGTTTTATTCTCTCCAAATACCCTCACTGTTAATCTAAACTCCAATTTGTTTTCCTCAGTTATAGTTTTTCTGACCAGTAGCTCTCCTTCAGATTAGTATTAATATCCAAACTATTAGCTGATGATGCAAAGAATTTTTACTCACTTAAACTGTATCTTTATCCAGGTTACCTCTTCATAAGATAAGAGTAATAATAAAAGCTAGAGCTGCGTGGATGATTTTTTTATGCTTGATGCAGTGGCAATTGGAATGAACAAGGCCATTCTGTAAGGATGAGTAAATCAAGTAATATATTTGCTGAGCAGCACAAATTTTAGTGCTACTCAGCCAGCTGAACACTGCTTGAATGACATTGCAGGCCATACTGCAGGCCATCTGAAATAAATATGGAATGTCAGATTTCTGAGGAAGGAGAGAAGGGACTTCTGGAATAATATTACCAGATAGAAACAGATTAAGGTTTTTATCTTTGAGTTTCACAACTTTTGGACATCACGAGTCAGTTTGCTTATGCTACATTTTCTCCATCTGTTTTATAAATCCATGCTTTGTTCTAGCCATTAGGTCCACACAGGTATGGACCAGAGAATACTGTAACTTACTGTTACAAAATGGTTTTGTGATGCACAGAGCAGTTGCTCACCACTTGTTGGCCTACATCTAGCCGGCTCCCAAGCAGTGGCAGCCTCCCCCAGCTAAATACCTGAGGTTTGTTGTTCAGAGTGACACAGCTGTCATAGATTCCTGGTATGGAATATATCTTTGGTGTGTTTGAGTTAGCTGTTCTGGCTCTGTCCCCTCCCAGATTCTCGTGCACCCACAGCCCCTTTGCAGGCAAGATGCTGTGACAAGTCTTTGACTTAGTGTAAGCACCACTCAGCAAGAACTAAAACACTGGTGTGTTATCAACGTTATTAATCATAAATCCAGAACACACCAACAGATCAGTTATTAGGAAGAAAATTAACTCTATCCCAGCCCAAACCAAGCACTACTTCAAGTAAACTACCAGTTCACAAACTTCATCGATACAATGGCTGCTTTTGGAGAGGACAAAAACATTTAAAGGGATTAATTTTGTTGCAAGAAATAAAAAAAGATACTTCCACAATAAATAGGAAACAGCAGTATTCAGCAGAATGTAATTCACCCTTCAATTTGTCTTAAAAGATAGATGCAGCCATTGCTGCCTATTGCATTGTTTGTGACGTCTTTCTGTGAAATGGTGGCTAGTAATTAGACTCTAAATACTGCTGAGACCTAATTATGACATTTCCCGAAAAGTAAGAAAGAGGGTTCTAGGTTCTACCCGGAGAAAAAAAGAAAAAAGAAAAAAAAATAATAAAAAGGTATTTCTGTGCATTCTAAACCACAAAACTGCAGCAGTAGCCTCCAGTGCCATGTGCTCCTACACAAATGTGTAATGTTGACAAGAGACTTTACCAGATTGTCCCTTATCAGATAAGAAACTCAGGTAAATATGGGCCAAGAGATTACCTGCAACAAAAGCATGGGTAGCAGCTGATCCAGTGAATTTTTTCCAATGCATTCTTCAGTAAACCACATCTTGACACTCCATTCACTTTTGCACTATAATTGAAAGACTTAGGGGTCTGTATGTCCTCCCCCATGCTTCAACATATCAACATAATTCCAGTCAACTTAAGCCATTTTTATAATAATGCCTTCTTAAACCATTGTAGCTCAGAGAACATAGTAGTATATAGGAGAATTAACCAGAATCAGGCACCACAGACTAGAGTTACTTCACTTATACAAAAACAGAAGAACAAAATCAGCACCTGTAACTTGTTTCAAATGATCACAAGTTTTACTCTTTCTGTAAAGAAAGAAGGTGTGAAGATCTTTAGTTTGACTAAAAATTGAAATATCTTTGTTTCAATGCCTTTATCAACACATAATATAAAGCCATGGAAAGATGATTAAACAGTGGAAATTCATGGATGCAAAGATTTCTTTCTTAGGATCTTAAGCGCCAAGTTTTTTGCTTGGCAAGGCTGGTTGTCAGCAGAATATATGTCAACAGTTACAGAAGTTACTCTGAAGAATTTTATCTGCTTCCATCTGGAGAAAATAACTCAATCCCAGAAATTCACATACCCAGAGTCAAACAAAGATGATTGTACTGAACAAGTCTGGAACCAAAATGATAGCCATAAAACTCTTTGTTTACATGTGCAGAAATATATGTTTTCTATAACAGCATGAAGTTTGGGAGGCTGCAATGTCATATACCATCAGTGACAAGCATTCACTTCTCTCTGTGGATTTTACATGGCACACAATGCATCAGAGTTACAAGAGAAATATAAAGAAGTAGTAGTGAAATACAATAAAGAGTAAAGTGAAAGTGAATAAGCTCAAGTATGGTTAAATCAGGCCTTCTGACTATCAAATTTAGAGAGACGGTGTTTATTAGAAAGTAAAGAGTAAATGTGTAGTTAGTATTAATGCATTATATTTCTGGTGCCCATATTGATTGTTTAGCTTTTCTCAAATTGCTGGATTTCCCCATCTTCCATTTTACAAAGGTGATAAAATGTAGAATAAAAAAAAAAAATGATAATTAAAAAATTAAAAGGTCTGGTTCAGTTCATTGTTTTGGTGCTCTGAAATACTCAGATAAAGCCTACTGATGATGGTTGTTACAAGTGTCAGTAACTTGCTCTGCTGAAATAATTTACTTCTCTGAAAAAGAAGGGTGCTTATGAAGCTCAGCCATTCAAGAAGCCCATTAATTTTCCCCTTTAGAAGTAAACACAGGTAATGCTGCCAAGTTGGGAAGAGACCTCAATGTTGTAGGAGACGGCACAGTTTTGGGCTTCAGCTGAATGTAGCTTTAGGAATGCGCTACTTTACACTTTCTCCATGTTTAGAAGGGGTAGCTGTCTACTGACACTGTGGAACAAGAGCAGACTAGGAACAAGGATAACTCTTTAGACATATGCACTCTCCATGCAAGTGTTTTTCTGTATAACACCTCAATGTGTTTTCATCTATCTAAGAAGACAATGTGTCTTCTTGCATTGTTGCTGTGCAAAATGTTGCTTGTACTGCACAGATGGCATTCTTGGACTTGCATCTCCACTGCCTTGACTTTGTGTTTTATTTTTAACACATGATCCTGCAAAGTAACAAGCCCTTTTGTGTCCCAAGTTCAGTGCAAGTATTCTAGTGGATGGTCTCAGTGTGTGTTTTCAATATTTTGATTTTTCCCAGACAAGACCTCACATTAACAACTGTACTATTTCATAGGCCTTTTTATGCTTTATATACATTATATACCCTAGGCTTTACATACTGCCATTTTCACTTACTTTCTGTCTCCTGCTATTTGGACTTAAAATACCAGTCTCCATAAGCATTCTCATCAAAGTCAATTTGGAATTAATCTTTCACCAAGAGATCATCTCACAGTATCAAATGCTCTAGTCACTAACAGTGCCTCTGCTATATTCCTATCATCCCATAAATGGTAATTCTGATTTTAAAAAAGCACTGACATTTCTTGCCTGTCAGTATTTTCTCATTGCTCGTGACACAGTTGTTCTTAAAGCACACAGTAAGTCTTTTCTCTAGATATTCTGCATCATTGTTCAGGAATGTAAATTAGATGTAAAGCATATAATTGCTACAGTCATGTTTTTGGACTTTTATCTTTGAACAAATTGTTTCCTCAGTTTTTTCCTTTGTCCCAGCATATCATAAAATTAAATCAAATACCCACACATCTTCAGTTATATATACTGAAGAACTTACATCAGCATCACAGATTCTTTTTATGGCCAAACTTACCACTACCTTACCAACCCTCTCTCTACACCTATCCGTAAAGCATCTAATTTGTGTTACCAGTGAGTACGCAGTCTTCCATGTGATGTGAAAGACATTCTTTACAATGTCAATCAAGGCTGCCAAGTTTATATGAAGCAAATTTAGTCAGTGAATCACCATTTTTCATTTGCATATAGGGCTTATTCTAATTTGTTTTTCAAAAGCAAAGCAAGTAACAATTATAACCTTATAGTTTATATAACATCAATTTCTTAAGTTATGTAATGATGGGTGTGTTGCATTAGTGCTAGTATTGCTATTATTAATTATCAGTTATGTTAATTTTTATATGAAAGGGAAATGTTGGTA